TATATATATATATTCCAGACTGACAAACTGTTTTTATTTACTGTTAACAGTAAAGCTAAAGTATCAACTGTTTAAAAAAATCTTGTTATTTAAGATTTTTGGGAGTGTTTGAAGCATTACGGCCACTGTATAAGTTTCAACAGATGACTGCTGACTGCTGAATTCTTCTTCTTCTTCTTCTTCTTCKTTTGATTTTTATTGGCGGCTGGCATCAAACTTAAGGTGCATTTACCGCCACCTACCAGTACTGCTGAATTCTAATTCAACCCAGCCTTAAGAATAGTCAGGTGTAATCAGAGTGATTACTCACAGCTGCGCTGGGAGCTGGTGGCACCAGCAATGCCCAATCAACCTTTTCAGCTGCTCAACCTGAAAATGAGGTGAGTAGTGGTGAAAAAAACGGGACAAAACATAAGACTCTTGACAGGATAAATGTTTTTTGAAGTAAAAAAATGTTTCATTTATTTATTTTTCTGAGTGCTTGTGGACTGATGACTCAGCATACAGCATGGAAAAGGAGTCAACAACAGGGCTCTCAGGTTTTGATCTGAGCTTGGAGTGAGATTTTGAGCCGCTGACAGCACCAGTACTGTTTTGAATGGTGAGCAAATAAAAACTACCATAGTCTAATTAATTTCCTCATTTATTTAATAAAWATTTTTATAACTTATGAGACTGAGCAGCTGTCATTGCTTGGGAAGTGGAAGGGGTTCACAGCAGCACTTATTGTACGCCRAAGATGGTAACTGCAGAACGGTTGCTGCTTTCATACATAGTTGTCAAAGTTTCCAGTAACACAGGAAAAATTGCTAGATTTGTTGCTAGTTGCTTATTTGAAACAACACCAAAAAGCCTCTAGAGGGGTCTAAACACACTAAATATAGCAACAAAGTTGCAACACTGTGCCCCTTATTGTTCTCCAGCCCGGTGGGAAACATTGAGCTGCATGTTGGTTCCTCCAAAAAGAGTGTGCGTGTGTGTTTTAGTATGAGGAATACAAAGTGTGGTGTGTGTACTTCATGAAATACCTGTGTCTCATGGTCAATGCCTCAGACTTGAGAGCCCTGAATATGCAGCTTTCACATGTTAACAGCACAGAGTGATACACAAAGGACTTGCCAAGATGGCTGCCAAAAATCTTGCCATCAGTGGCTATTTCAACGGGCGTCATGCAAGAACATGTTCGTATTCTTATCCTAAATTTTTCTTACTTTCGTTYGTACGAAGGGTTCGTACGAACATGTCAAGTCAGATTCAGCAAACTCTTCTATCTTCAGGAAGTGTGTAAATGAGCTGCGTAAATTCCACCTGTTCGTATCCAGCTGCTCGTGCACGAGCAGAGGTTATTTACATAATTACCACCCCAAAAACACCATATAA